AGTACACAGCCTGCCTAGAAAAAATGTTAGATTGATAAATTATAAATAGAAGGGTTAAGACTAAGAGGAATGGTAATAATAGCAGTGGTGAGAATAGTTTTAGTATCCCTGAAGGGAGATACTAAACAGAATATTGCCTAACAGAAATTCAAACATATTTCATAATATTGGAAATTCAATTATATCAAATAAAACTGCATAGAAAATCATTGGGTCATTGTTCATATTTTATGTATGATGATGATGATATCAAAGCACATATAAGGTATAAAAGAACTAACCAATTTTATGTGTATCAAGTAAATTATAAGAGCATGAGGTCTCCATTAATCTCTGGGGACTCTTACTTCTAAGGGGAAGGTATATTTCAGATCAAAATGAAGAGAAGCAATTAGTAGACACTTATTCTAGATATTTCCTAGTCCCATGATACTAAATTTAAGTTAATCCCAGAACCTTTCTCAGGCTGCAGCCCCTCTCCCTGGTCTTCATGGAGGTAAAGCACTTCATTCTAAGGTCCGAATGCTTTGGCTTGAATTCTGGCTCTGCCTAGCTACATGATTTAGGAAAAATTGCTTAATGTCTCTGTGCTTTATTTTCAACTTTTGTAAGTGGACACAATAGTTGAAGCTAATTTGTAGAAATGGAATGAAAATTGAGACAATAATTGAAGCATATTTAGAGGAGTACTTCTGAAAATTAAGCATTTACATAACTGGTAACTAATATTGTTCACAAAATTGAACCTTGTTCTCCAAGATAAATGGCAGAGATATTTATAGAAAATTAAAAGATCTTTGGTCTTACAGAGACCCTGCATACAATAGAGGAAAAAGTAGGCCCAAATATTCATCATGTCAGATTAGGCCCTGACTTCCTTAACAAGACTCCTACAGAGCAAGAAATAAAATCAAGAATCAATAAATGGGATGGATTCAAACTTAAAACCTTCTTCTAAGCAAAAGAAACAATCAATGAGGTGAAGAGAGCCTAGATTTTGAGAGCAATTTTTTGCCACTTGTGTATCAGATAGAGCACTAATCTCTAGGATATATAAAGAACTCAAAAAACTTAACACCCCAAAAAATAAACAGTCCAATCAATAAATGGGGTAAGGAGCCGAACAGACACTTCTTAGAAGATTTAAAATTGATCAACAAATATATGAAAAAATGTTCAATATCTCTAGTAATTAAAGAAATGCAAATCAAAGCTACTCTTAAGATTTCATCTCACACCAGTCAGAATGGTAGTTATCGAAAATACAAACAACATTAAGTGTTGGCAAGGATGTGGAGGGAAAGGCACACTCATACATCGCTGATGGGACTACAAATCAGCGCAACCAATCTGGAATGCAGTATGGAGAATACTTAGAAAACTTGGGATAGAACCACCATTTGACCCAGCTATACCACTCCTCAATCTATACCCAAAGGACTTAAAAGTAGCATACTATAATGATGCAGCCATATCAATGTTTATAGCAGCTCAATTCACAATAGCTAAATGGTGGAATCAATCTAGATGTCCTTCAATAAATGAATGGATAAAGAAACTGTGGTATATTTACACAATGAAATATTACTCAACATTAAAACAGAATAAACATTATGGCATTTTCAAGTAAACGGATGGAGTTGGAGAATATCATGCTAAGTGAAGTAAGGCAATCCCATACAATCAAAGGCCGAATGTTCTGATTAATTGAATGCTGATCCATAATGAGAAGGGGGGCATGAGAAGAATGAAGGGACTTTGATTGGGCAAAGGGGAGGGAAGGGAGGAGAGAGGCCATGGGGGCAGGAAAGGTGGTGGAATGAGATAGATATCATTACCTTAGGTATAAGTATGACTGCACATATGGTGCAACACTACATCAAGTACAACCAGAAAAATGAAAAGTTGTGCTGTAATTGCATACAATGAATCAAAATGCATTCTGCTGTTGTATATATCTAATTAGAATTAATTAATAAATTAATTAATTTTTAAAAAAGATATTTGGTCTAAATCAATTGAGCTTTTTATCTTCAAAAGTGATTCTTCTCATCACATTCTTTATACTTCACACCTAAGTTTTCATTGCCACAAATGAAAAAAAAAAAAGGACCTTGGAAGTAAATCCAGTTATTAGTGAATCTGATTTAGAATGAACTTAACTTTTTCCCAGAACAAGATGAAAATCATTATAAAGCAATGGTAAATAAGAAAAAATTAAAACAATCAACTAAAAGATGTAAATAAGCACATTAGGAAATCAGAGATATTCTGATGCTTCATCAAATGATGCAAAACTAAAGCAGAAGTTGTTACCCAATTCCACCATTGTTCTAAAATAACTGAATACATATTTGGTATGTAGCCATCCAGAACCGAGGCTACATGCCTAGCTTCCCTCTGCTTGAATCTGACTGCCTGTCTAGGTTGTGGACTGTGTGTATATCACATGGCAGATACTGGAGATCATTTTTTAAAAGAAAACAGGCACAGACTTTTGATTCTGTCTTCTTTCATTCTTCTTCCACTTTCTGATTATGATAAAGATGGGGACAAGGGCACACCCAGGACCAGTGTGCCTGCTTGTGGCAATAGTGCAGCACACAGTTCTACACAACATATTAGGAAGACAGGCACTAAAACCTGGATGCAGCCAAGCTTCCTAACAATTGGGAAGCCTCATACCATCCCTGGACAGCTGGTCTTTAGATTTGGCTTATAAGAGAAGTTGTATGAGTAAGCTGCTATTGATGTAAGCTGTGTATTGTGCAAAGCATCTAATTCTCATGTTTAGGAATGTCAGGTTGTCTCTTTCCACATCTGTATCAAAATTCAGTCACAAACAGAATTAAAGCAGTTCTGGAACTAGAAACATAATCATCATAATTTTTTTTTTTTGCATATGTACACATGGTCACCCAGGACCAAAGTGTTATAATCATGAGCATTGGTTACAGGTTTTTTTTTCCCTTTTGCTGGGGTTGGTGGGAGGGGTTCATATTATCCATATAAGGAATAAATAAAACATGAATCTTTGTCGTCACGCTTCCTTGAATTTTCCAAAAATTGTTAATGACCATGCACTACTTTCATAAGTACAAAAATATCAGCTTAAATGCAAAAAAAAAAAAAAAAGATGCAAGAGTTGAAAGCATAATTTGTCAAAAATGATTCTTAAGAATCAGTACATTTTCCCATGGGAACATGATCAACTTCTTAAGTACCTTCTGCCTGACCTTACAAGGCAGGCACTTCCTGCCTCTTCTCACTGCTCCTGGAGTGTTTCTGTCTGAGTGTTCCTCTCCTCTCATCTCAAATTCTGTGAACCTGGCCTAGTGCTAAAGATATCCTTGAATATCATTTTCTCATTAATATCTTCCTTTTAGTGGAAGCCATAGTTCTTTCTCTAAATCCCAGTATCAATTCCCACAGCATGAAATAATTTTTTTCCACTATACCATAGTGAACATATTTCATATCTCCATGAATATTATAACATTCTCTGGAGCATGTAGTTCTTTCTACTTTGTCTTTATATTTATCTACTTGTTCATTTGTTCATTCACATGTTCACTTATCCAGTTCTCAACTCCTGACTGAATATCTCTTTATGACACGACAGATATTATACAAGACATAGGGGTATAAGAAAAAAAATAAAATAGGTTTTGTTCATTCAGAGAATGAGCTAACCATGAACAAGAGGCAACAGAGGGGCAATAAGTAAATTTTAAACAATAGAATCATTTCTATGGGAGAGAAATATATACAATGATTGGAAGGCAGAAGGCTTAATTCTTGAAGAAAGCCAGGGAGACTGCCACGGAAGTAGAGATTCTTGAATTAATTGGTACAAGGGTTCATTGGCATTTTTCTGGCAGATGAGATGAGTGGGTGCATACTGGAGCAGGGCATGGACAGTATGAAGTCCATAATAGTGATGATCCATTGCAAGAAAAAGGAAAGTTTAGTTTTGTAGGCCTAAAGATACAAGATGCAAGGAGAGATCTGAGAGGGACTAGGAGCTTTAATGTCACATTCCACCCAGTACTTTGAATACAATATCGACTTAACAGATATTTGTTGACTATTGCAGTCATATTTAGTATATATTCTGCAGCAAGCCTTGTGGATTCTGCTCCACTGACTGAGCCTTATGAGATATTTTATGGTTTAGCAAATCAAACTAAGAGTTGCAACACACCTAATTATGGAACTTTTAAGGAAAATCATAGTTGACCAAATTAGGTTTATTACACTCCTCACTTTGAAAAGTGGATACTATATCAAAGGATCAAGGAAAGAGGTGATAGGCTCCACTGGGAAAGATACAATTTAATGGTGATCACAGAAAATATTTCACTGTTTTTTTTTTCCTTAAAAACCAAAGAAAAATTAATACCCTATGTTGTTATATTTGCTTATAGAAATGTAGAAATTAGTACATAAATGTATCTCTAAAAACCTTTTGCAAACTTTAAAGCACTGTAATAATATTATTGATTTTTTCAAGGGTATATTCGGAAAAATTAAAATACTATGTTCAACATAATTTTTTTTTCCTAAATACCAAAGGAGTGTGGTAGATTTCTTTTTTCCTTCTTCTTCTTCTTTTTGGTTCTAAAGATTGAACCCAGGTATGCTTAACCATGGAGCAATATCCTTAGCCCTTTTTTAATTTTTTATTTAAGACATGGTCTCAAATAGTTGCTTAGGGCCTCACTAAACTGCTGAGACTGACCTAGCGTTGAACTTTCAATCCTCCCGCCTCAGCTTCCTGAGTCACTAGGACCATAGGTGCACACCACTATGCCCAGATTGATAAGATTCTTTATTCTTTTTTTTCTTTCTTTATTGATAGAGAAAAGGTCCTCATGTGTACTCTGATATTTTGTTCTCATCTGTTGCTTTATACACAGACCCTAGAGAATTAGCAAAGAGTGGAATTGTTTTCAACACACATATCAGGGTCCAAAAAATTAAAGAAGTTAGTTTCATACCTTCAATAGGTTTTGGTACAAAATGTGAAGAGGGCTTGGTTTTCTTCACTCTGTTTCCCTTCATAATTTGACCTTCTTTATTGAGTCCCAGAAACCATGCTCGGCCCGATTCTTGCTGGCGATACAGTGTGGAAGAATAAATCACATAGTAGTTTTCAAACACAGATTCCTTAAATTTGCATTCTGGGGTAAAAACATCCTACAGGGAAGGAAAAAAAAAAAGAAATGTAAAAAAGAGAAAGGTTGAAAAATGAATCAGCAAATGCGAAATATACTCCACTCCACTTGGAATACAGGTCCTCTGTAAAGAACCGGAGAGAGGTGACTGCACATAATTTCAGGAGCATTAGTATAAATCTTTATTGTACAAAACCAAGAAACAAGATTTCCTTTCTAACCAATTTTTACTCCGGAGAAAACAACTGCTGAGCTGTGAGTCCCACATTGGGCCAGAATCACTAAAGACTGCAGCCAAGTCCAAACTCTGATAATAATGTTTTTTGCAAATTGAAGCACTTAGCCAGTCCTAATTTTAGTGACCCTTAGCATGTAAATAAAGTAGACTTTATCCCTGGATAAAGTAGACTTTATCCCTGGAAGTCAAAATTAAATGCAACCACAGCAAAAACAGGTACATGAAATGTTTTGAAGGGGACCACCATGCCTGTACAAGAATCTGTTCTACAGCCAAAGATTGTTCCATGAACTTAACAGTATGCTACCACTTTGTCCAATACAAATAATTTTCCCTGTAGCTTATTAATCAAAACCTCAGATACAAAAACCTCGGGAATAAGCAGTAGAAATAAGTACTACTATGTAATCATATATTTAACCCTGTGAGGAACTTTCCACAGCTGTATCATTTTATGTATTCACTAGCAAGATGTGAGTATCACAGTTTCTCTACATTCTCACCAGAACTTTTTAATAGTCATTTTTGTAAAGATGCAGTTAATGCATGATTTGATAATCCTACTTTTAGGTATATGCCTAAGGGAAATAAAACATGTCCACACAAAAAAATAAATATATTTTCATAGCATCATTATTCATACTGTGCAAACGACCCAATTAGCTCTTAACTGATGAATAGATAAAGAACACATGGTCCGGTCAACAATTTAATTTTATCCATCCACAAAAAGAAATGAATTATTGACTCATGACAATATGGAGAAACCTAGGAACATATGCTAAGTGGAAGAAGACAGACACAAGGGCCACACGTTGTTTGATTGCATTTAATATGAAATATCCAGAATACAAAATCCAGAGATGAAAAGAAATGGATGTCAAGGGCAAGGGGTGGCTGTGCAGATAAATGGGTAGTGACTGTTTTCTGGAGAGATGAAATTTTTCTGGGATTAGACAGTGGTGATGTTTTCAAAAATTTGTGAATATACTAAAAAACACTGAAATATATACTTTTAAATGTGGATTTTCATGATATATGAATCATGTCTCAATAAAAAAGAAGAATTGGAGAAACAAGAGACTAGAGAAGGTGAGGGAAAACAGTGACAACATTGCATAGTTCTTATCTGGTAGCAGCACAGGACTTAACAATGAACCTGGGTGTTGGAAAATAGGCTCTTCTATGGCCTTGTCTCTGCATTGCTAGAACAGAGTTTAATCACTGCCAAATATAGGGATCGAAGTGATAAAGATTCAATTTACAAAATGTCCTACATTGTTTTGCATTACTGTAATGAAATACCTGAGATATGCTCACTTTAAAAGAAAAGTTTTAGAGACTAGAAGTTTAAACAGTGTAGCTACTGGATCTACTGACAGCCCCATGGCAGATACAGGGAATGAGAACATCAGTGTGAGAAAGATTTCACCCCTCAAAACTCACAACCAGGGACAGACAGGGGTTCCAGCCCATTCTGGGGGCATGCTCCCAGTTGACCTCAGGAGCTCCCCCTATGCTGCACCTCTTAAAGGTCCCACTTTTTCCCAATATTGCTGCCCTGGGGATCAGATCTTCAACACATGAACTTTGGGGGGATACACTTAGAACAACCCAAAGATAAGATATAAGATATCCTATAAGTCTCAATTTTTCTTCTAAGATTAGGTTAAAAGATACAAAAAACAAATTAAAATTTGGTGCAGATTTTACTAGTTTTCTTTAAAAAACAAATTGATCAAAATAATCCCAAACCTTTTATTTCTAAGTCTAGCCTTATACTAGTAAACATTATATTATCCTTAGACGCTAAGAGACCTGGAACATTCAAAGAATAAGTTCTGTGTATAAGATTTCAAACCTCACAATAGGAGGTGGGAAAATATATGAGGCAAAGAATTTTGTATAAATGTATATATTGTCATATAGGTAGGAGTGATATAACCTACTTCTAACATACATCACTGAAATATGAAATTTGTAAATTTAGATACAGATGTTAAAGCTGCTTAGAGATGATTCAATGTGCTGCTTTTATTTAACAAGGTAACTGAAGCCTGTGATAATGAAATAATTGACCCAAGGATCACACAAAGTTAGAGGTAGATCAGGACACTTAGCCAGAACAATGGTCTCCTGGCTGCTGGCTCAGTAAACTTCCCACAGAACTATGCATTGTTTCCTAATGCAAAGCCAAGCCTGTCCTTGATGTGGGACTGTTAATGGGGCAAACCTTACTCATTATCATAGGAAACTTTGTCAGCCACGCATAATTACTCTGTTGTCATTTACATATGAGAAAAATAACATTTTCATTTAATAAATAATGAACTCCTAGGTTTCTATTCCACTTTGTAATTGTTTAACACTCCCTCCTGAAAACAGCAAAAGTCCAGGATATTGTAAAAGAACTGAAGTCCTGGGGTCTGAGCCAGGAATAGCATTATAGAAAATGGGAAATCATATACAAAATATTCAGAGCCTATGAACAGACACTTCTCAGAATATGATAAACAATCAACAAATATATGAAAAAATGCTCATCATCTCTAGCAATTAGAGAAATGCAAATCAAAACCACTCTAAGATTTCATCTTACTCCAGTCAGAATGGCAGCTATTATGAATACAAGCAACAATAAGTGTTGGCGAGGATGCGGGGAAAAAGGTACACTCATACACTGCTGGTGAGACTGCAAATTGGTGCAGCCAATATGGAAAGCAGTTTGGAGATTCCTTGAAAAACTTGGAATAGAACCACCATTTGACCCAGGTATCCCTCTCCTCACTCTATACACAAAGGACTTAACAGCACACTACAAGGACACAGCCACATCAATGTTAATAGCAGCACAATTCACAATAGCTAAACTGTGGAACCAACCTAGATGCCCTTCAATAGATTAATGGATTAAAAAATGTTGCATATATACACAATGGAATATTAATTCAGCAGTGAAAGAGAAAAAAAAAATCATGGCATTTGCAGGTAAATGGATGGAGTTAGAGAAGATAATGCTAAGTGAATCAAATGCCAAATGTTTTCTCTGGTATAAGGAGACTGATTCATAGTGGGATAGGGAGGGGGAGCATGGGGAGGAATAGATGAACTCTAGATAGGGCAGAGTGGTGGGAAGGCAAGGGAGGGGGAATAGGGTTAGAAATGATGGTAGAATGAGATGGACATCATTATCCAAAGTACATGTATGATGACTCAAATTGGTGTGAATATACTTTGTATACAACCAGAGATATGAACAACTGTGCTCTATATGTATAATAAGAATGGTAATGCATTCTGCTGTCATATGTAAATAAAAATAAATAAATAAAATCAACAAAGGAAAAAAAAATCAGATCCTAATTGGAAATGAAAATTTAAGTGGAATATCCCATTTAATGTTATTCCAAAGGAGGTATATGAAGAATTAGGATTTAGGAATAAGGCAAATATTAACACCCGACCAGGGCAGGACATGCAGGAAAATATGGCAGGAGGTTAGTGCAAGCACTTCTGTGGGCACAGGCAGCATCCTTGAAAACGAGCAGGCAAATCTTAAGGGTACAGAGCTACCTTTGAGAGTGATTCTTAGTGCAACCATTACCATTTATTAGCAATTTCAATTTCAGTATGAAGCTGGACATCAAAGAATTTACACTGTTTGTTATTATCACATTTTTATATAATGAGTTCTGAGCCCTAGAGTTGGAGCAAGAAAATCAATCAAGGTTTGCTTCTGACACCATACACATCAGTTGTGGGGTTTAAGTAAGTGACTGAAACTCTAATTTTCACATTTTTCAACTGTAAAATGAGTGATTTTAAGGAAAAAAAATAGTTGATCTGTATAGAAGCAGTTCATAAATTTTTAGGTTTTACAAAATTCCTAAATTATTATTGCTGTTCAGTTTTCTTCTTAGAGTAAAAAACACAATCATGTAAAAAGACCATTATTTCTGTGCCTTTGTTACACTTGCTACTATCTGTTCCAGAACCAGAAACCTCCCCCTTAACTGTTGCTAAAACAAGTGCACATATAAGCATGTTTTTTAATGAGTTATCTAAAGCTTTAGGCAAAGACATGGGTCATCACATACATTCAGAAGGTGTTCCGTGGGTTGAGTGTTTAGAATGGCAACAAATCTAATGCATAATGGAGACAGGCAGAAGTGGAGTCACAGGTGGTCAAATCCTAGGCCACCTTTACCAGGTGCATACGATAAAAACAGAGTAAAGAGAACAGTATACTAAGGAGGAATTTTTTCCTTTTGAAAAGTCACCCTGCAACTCACGAGTTTTGTTTATCTTTATCACCCTGGGCTCCCAATTCAATGCAGGCATTATACCAAGGTTTATAGAAATACTTGATGAAACAGAATCAAGCCCACATGTATATTATTTATGTACACGTGGTAAAAGCTAGGCTTATTTTTCCCCAAAATTAATTTTGATCTTCCCATTGTTCAAACTTAAGCAGACCTTAAATCCAGGGAAATATGAATGTTTTAGAAGTGTTCTGAATTTTTGAATACTTATACTTTTCTTTGAGCAATCTTTACACAACTGGGGTTTTGGTGCAGCATTTTACAAACCATTATATGAATGGTCCTTTTCACATTCTGAACACCTTTCCACTCCAGCCATGCCCTCTAAAGTAAAGAACTTCTGCCTATTTCAATCCAGATGATGAAGAAATGCTGTAGCACTAAGCCCCAAGTGGTCACTCTGGACACCTTCCATTGTGTCCCTATCCATCCTTTCCAAAGCACTATTAAAGTCTCCTT